CGGGAGGCGGCGGAGGAGAGGGCCGGCCTCCTCTAGTCAGGCCGCGTGATGTCGGAGGAGCGCCGCACCACGGACTTCTCGGAGGACGAGCGAGGTTCAGCGACGGACGAGGTTGAGGCGACGGACAGCGAGGGAGAGGCTGGGAGGGCGGCGAGGCCGGAAGTAGTTCCACTGCCTCTGCTGCGGCTAGCCCCTACTTGCGAGGTCCCTCAAAACTCCCTGGGCCTCCGCTTCCTCCCCTACGCCCAGTGATCCGCCCCCAGGGGGATAGGTAACTAACTTTAGATTTAATCATAGCTACTTCATATAACCTGTTGAAAATTGTTAGAGAAACTAATAATGTTTGTTAATGACTTGTGCGAGCCTTTGGGAGGTTGTGTCGCTGGTGACTCACGCAACCCCAACCACATCTTGGGGCTTGTGTGCGAGCACTATTACCCGGCATTATCACGCACAAGGGGACTGTGGGGCCGGCCAAATCGTGGGACCACTACAAATCTGCCGTCGACGCAGATTATGAAGACAAGCGAGGAGCGGGTCGGGAGAGAGTTCAGGTAAGTCTCGTCAGACAACTTTGATCAATACATCGCATTCATTTGACACTTTTGACATAATGAATTGATACATTGTGTCTGTCTGCGAGACTTTTTTCAGTGTGAAGAGGGACGGGAGGAGAGGCGGAGAAGAACTTGGTGAAAAGTGCAGAAGCGCATCGTGACATGCACTATGAGGAGGCGCCTCACTTGCATCATCAAGTACTACGCCACGCGACTTTGGTCGAAAAAGTCGGCAAGACACAGGCAAGACGGATGCCTCTCGACCGGGAGCAGTTCCTTGAGGTAAATGAAGAAGAATAATACTTGATTCATTTTGAGATTAAGTAGCTTTCATTTGGTCGTCTTACATCTCAAATTCTTTGACATGTAGATGATTCCATGGTGGTGCGAGTCCTTTTGCCATTTCGCTTGGGAGATGATCGTGGACAGGTGGTTCACAGAGGGTTATATCCAGAACACGAAGCCCACCGGGAGCGGGCTTTTGCGGTGACAGCCCCACACACCACCAAGGTAGCCATGAGCCTCGCGGCGTACAAAGCAAGCTTGGGTACGTGAATTCATTTTTAGTATTTCGACGCTCCATTCGCATGTTTCTTCTAATCATCTTGTTGTCTTTCTCATGATCGGCGTCGCATGGTGGCCACCTTTGTCCACGTTCATGGCGTATGGACTGGCCCGCAAAGGAAAGGCGACTTCAGCTATCACCTTCAGCCCGGATGACCCACCGAGTCGACAAAGAACCCGAGCGCCCACACCCACATCAGCTCCTACGCGTCGAGGCAAGGTCGGTCCAGGGGGCGATCGGGATCCGAGCACAAGCGACATTGATGGCACGATTGTCATGAGGATCGGACGGGGCAAGAAGCATGGTCGATGCTTGGCTTGGCGATGGCACCCTCGAGTCCGGCTCTGTTCCTCCCTCTCCGAGATCCGAAAGCAAGTACCGAAGCGGAGGGCCCGGCCATACCATAACGGCCGTCCCTTCACCGGTAATGGGTTGACGACTCGAGTTAGTCGGTTTAACTCTTCGTACATTGATCTTTACATAACTTAGTAACCTTTACATTACTAAAACATTCGATTGAAATGTTGCAGGCCGAGAACGAGAGGATGGCTCAGGAGCTGCGGGACCTGGCGGCGAGGACCGAGGTGGCCGAGCGGGAAAGACAAGCCGAGCGGGCCGAGCGGGAGAGACAGGCCAAGCAGCTGGCGGAGATTACGATGTTCCTGCAGAACTTTGGGCAAGTGAACGGTGTACCTGTGCCGATGTTCGCTCCAGCGCCACCGCTAGTTGTAGCTAGTCCAGTGAGTATGAATCCATATTGCTTCGACTAGTGCTTTCATGAGATGACCCACTCTAAGCGCCTGAATCTCTTGTCCTTTATGCAGCCTCCGTCGGCGGGTTCGAATAACCCATCTCAGGCGCAAGCAGGCGGTGCCGAGTTTCCTTCACCAGGCACTCAGTTTCCTCCCCACCTTTAGTTTGTATCTCTTTTTTACCTCTTGATGGACATGTGATGCACTGTGATCCACTATCGACTTGTTTCGATGGTAATTGAACCTATTATGTTCCTATTATGTTTGTGATGTCGTGTATGTGAGGTATTGTATTCGTGATGTGATATATATGTGTGGGATTGAGTTTGTGATGAGATGGATGTGATATATATGTGCTATATTGTCTTTGTGATGCTTCAGATGTGATATATATCTTTTTATGTCTGTGTTTGTGATTATAGAATCAAAAACAAAATAAAAAAATTAATTTTGAGGCTTTGCGGGTGCCACAGCCACAGCACTTTCGGCAAAGCTGAGAACAGAATTCCCAGCTTTGCCGAGAGCAGGGGCTGTGGCACCCCTAAAAAGTTTTAAAAAAAAAAATCTTTGCCGGGTGCTCCATGACTTGGCACCCGGCAAAGAAATTACGAAAAAAAAATAAAAAACTCTTTGCCGGGTGCCCCCGCGGTGCGACACCCGGCAAAGAAATTATAAAAAAAAATAAAAAAATCTTTGCCGGGTGCCTCCCCGGTACGACACCCGGCAAAGAAATTATAAAAAAAAAAAAAAAATCTTTGCCGGGTGCCTCCCCGGCACGACACCCGGCAAAGAAAATTTGAAAAAAAAATTAAAAAAATCTTTGCCGGGTGCCTCTGACATGGCACCCGGCAAAGCAAGCTATGACGGATCCAGCGCCGTAACGACCACTTTTCTTTGCCGGGTGCTAGGTTTGCACTCGGCAAAGTCTTTGCCGGGTGCCCGATAAAAAGCACCCGGCAAAGAAATCTTTGCCGACTAACTTTTTGCCGGAGGCTCTTTGCCGAGTGCTGCACCCGGCAAAGGCTTTGTCGAGTGCAAAGTATCCTTTGCCGAGTGCATTCGGCACCCGGCAAAGCGCCTAAATCCAGTAGTGGATGAACCCGGCTGAATTAGGCAAACTTGCTATAGGCAGCATCCTAGAACTTCACAGGTCAGGCATTCAATGTCCAGGATCAACCCCTTGTTCCATACGCAATTTACATATTTCTCACAGGATGGTAACCGAAAAACCTCTTATTTCGTTGCACTCCTCGTGTTGGAATGGTTTCCTTTTTCGGCCGAAATCTCCTGATATTTCCGATATATCTTTTTTATCCGTAAGTATCGATAAGAAAATATCTATCTTTTTTCTACAAATTTTGTTTAAATTTATTTAAATTTACTTAAATTCAAGTTAAATTTAATTTGAATTTGGTCCGATATTTCTGATATATTCTGCTTATCCTCTTTATCTGTGACCCCCGATAAATTTTAATTTCCGAAAATGAAAACCTTATGGAACTTGGAAGTGACAAAAGACCATGGGTGCTGCTCTTGGCCGACGAGCCAAACGAGTGTTCCGCCGTCCGGTCACTAGTCGACGAGTGGCCTCCGGTGTTGGCACTTGCGGACGACGACGTGGTGGTGGTCGACCAATAGTAACCCCTGCCGCCAACAGGCGGCCCATACGTCGCCACTGGCATCTCCAGCAGGAGCTCCGGCAACGGTGCCTCGAACTGGAGCACGCTCATGGCCTGCCGGATCGATGCCCGGGACGCGTAGTTCGGATGCACGCACCAAAGCCCCACGCACAGCACCCGCTCCATCTCCAGCGGCTGGAACCCGCCGTCGTTCAGCCGGGGGTCCGCCGCGTCGAGGAGCTCTCCCCTCCCGTACAGATCCCAGACCCACTGCACGAGCAGCACTCTGCTCTCGTCCTCCTCCTCCAGGACGACGGGCTTCCTGCCGCAGGCGACCTCGAGGAGGACGACGCCGAAGCTGTAGACGTCGTACTGGACGCTGGCGCGGCTGGTCACCACGCACTCTGGGTCCATGTAGCCCATCGTGCCGGCGAGCCACGTGGTGTGCGCGGCGCGGCTGTGGTTGACGAGGCGCGCGAGGCCGAAGTCGCCTAGCTTGGCGTTGAACGACGAGTCTAGCATCACGTTGCTCGGCTTGATGTCCCTGTGCACCACGCATTGCTCCTATTCTTGGTGAAGGTACAGGAGAGCAGAGCCCATGCCAAGGATGATGTTGTACCTGATCGACGCCCAAAAAAAAAAAAAAGAACTTGTAATATCTGGCAACAGCATGAACTCGTAGTTAAACAGAAACAACCAGCTCGATTGACTGATTAAGTTCTTACCTGACTGGCCATGTTAGAATGTTATCTGTGCTATAGAGATGCTTGTCAAGGCTGCAGTTGCTCATGAGCTCGTAGACGAGCAGGAGCTCGTCGGCGTCATGGCACCACCCGACGAGCTGCACAAGGTTGCGGTGCTTGAGACGGCTTATGATCGTGACCTCGGAGACGTACTCCCTCCTCCCCTGCTTCGACGTCTTGGAGACCTTCTTGATGGCCACATGGAGACCTTGATCCTGCAGGTACCCGCGGTAGACTGATCCGAAGCCGCCCTCGCCGAGCTTCTCCTCGTCGGAGAAACCTCGCGTCGCCTGTGACAGCTGGTTGTAGGTGAATCTCCGAGGCCCGGCCCCCATCTCGAACTCATCGTCCATTTCTCCATGGAGGTGGAGGGGAGCCTCTTGCGTTTGGTTGGTGCCCTTTCGTTTTAGGTATTTGTTGTAGCTGAGACATGTTGCTACAATGAGTAGTATGACGATCCCAGTAGATGCCAGTCCGGCTATTAGGCCTAAGTTTCGCATGTTTGATGTTTTGGATCCTGTCATTTAAACATGCATAAATACCAAAACCTCTGATTCACACACAAAAAAAAACCCACTGCAAAAGCTTATAAAACACACATCATTGGCTTATGAGCATACACAATTCCCCAAGTGATTTTGCAACAACACTATGTATATATAGTGAGAGTGCACAAATCATGCATCGAAGATAGATAAAACATTGTTCCCAGATTTATTTACGCATTTGATTTCAGAGAAGCAATGCACGCTTATGTTCACAGATTACATAAGATTCATATTATATATTGAGCAACGCATTTCTAATCTAATAAAGAGGGGGAAAAAAAGGAGAAATAACAAAGCTACAAGCAGGGAAAGGCACTTGCCGGTCGTGTTGACAACGGCGACGCTGACGAGAGTGGACTCGAACGACCACGAAAGGATCTGATGGCGCTCGACGAAATCTCCGGTGGCTCCGGAGAACCCGACCGCCGCTTGCTGCGGCAGCCCAGCTTCCTTGAAGTCGACGGTCGCGCTGACGTTGTAGAGGCCCAGCTCCGGCAGGTGGTCGAACCGCAGCGTCGCCGAGAGCGTGCTCGCGTTGGCGTCGTACCTGACCCACGCCGACATGGTCCCGTTGAAGCTCGCGTCCGGCAGCGCCGCGTACGCGAGGGACACGATGCTGTTGACGTCGACGCCGACGTTGTTCACGGTGTTCGCCGGGTCCCAGACGTTCTTGAACGCGTCGAACTCCACGGAGACGGTCGGCGGGAAGTAGGCGTTGGCCGTGTTGTTGGGGTTGTTGAAGAGCCCCAGGAAGCCGCCGTTGGAGTCCTGCGGGAGAGTCGGCGGGTACGGCGCCACGAAGAACGCCATGCCGTCGCCCTGGCCGGTGCTCTTGCGTGGCGTGATGGCGAAGGTGAAGTTGGAAGTGAAGCTGGCGACCTTGGAATTGCCGGTGCTGTTGTCCCAGAGAGGCACAGGCTGCCCGTACGCCACCCGGCCGGTGCTCCAGGTCGTGTCCTTGGTCAGATCGATCCGGCCGCTGGCGGCGGTGGCGTTGGACATGTACGTGAGGTCGGCGCTGGTTAGGACGCCGGGGTTGGAGAAGTTGTAGCTGAAGCTAAGTGAGGTGGCATGGGGAACACGGCAGAGCAGGTAGTACGAGGACAGGCTTATCAGCCTGAGGAGGAGGAGAAGGCTGTTTCCTCCCTGCTTCTTATTAGCCATGGCCATGGCCGGGATCGATACTGCCTTCTGCTTGTGGTTGTGGGTCAAAGCTTTTTGTGGAAGTACGAGGTCACGGTGTGCATGTATTTATGCGCTGCAGCAGCGTGCCGTCGCCTTTTCGTTCCGTGTGCAGTGGAATTGGCCGTCAAGGTCTAGCGACGACTATGCTGTGCCGTGCGCGGGTCTTCCCACAAATTTTGGTTTACGCACTAATATGTGCATGTCCATATCATAATACTAAAATTATTGCCCTAGGTTGACGAAGGATGGAACTGCGTGTTGACGAATTATTTATTTATTATTGAAATGATCGCTAGTTCCCTGAGAAACACGTAGCACGCCGGCATGGCGGCATGTCAACAGCTACCCAGTGCACGAAGTACTTGATTTCCTCTATTCCAAACTATAAGGTTGCATACAACGAGCTATGTTGAAGCATGGATATTATACACATAATATTGTATTTCCCAATCATCTAATGGCTACCATTCTTAATTACTAAGGACCCACATACTTAAATTTTTAATTTAAAATATAAAACTTAAATGAAATGTTTGATACTCTAAATACTTTCAAATAAAAAACTTGTAAACTACAAAATTGTAGATCTCCCTGGCTCTATAATTTTGGTATAAAAATAATCTTATCGATCTTTATTGTAAAAAGATAATTTTTTTTGTGGCAATTATTTATAGAGAGGTAGACATCTTAAAGATTCCGTCTCTATTAGTCGACTTATAGAGGCAACAGACCTAAGAGACCCACCTCCATTAATAGCCATTTTAAGAGAGGTAGACTTCCTATGGGTAGTCCCAATGGACGGTTTCTTGACATAGTTTTCAAGAGAGAAAACAAGCAATTAATATGTAGTAGAAACTATCCATCCTAACTCATGATTTCCATATTAATTTCTATACAAAGGCCTTGTTTAGATTACAAGTTTTTTCACTCTCTCTCCATCACATCAAATCTTTGGACACATGCATGGAGTATTAAATGTAGATAAAAAAATAACTAATTACACAGTTTGATTGTAAATTACGAGACGAATCTTTTGAGCCTAGTTAGATCATGATTGGACAATAATTGTCAAATACAAACGAAAGTGCTACAGTGTCAAATACTGACTCCTAACCCTAATCTAAACAAGGCCAAAGGATAACTTAAATACAAAAAAAAAGAAGTAGATCAACTGTGGCTAGCAACAATATAGCCTCATATCATATGCATAGTCGACAGTATGTTTGCATCAAACGCTTTGTAACGCCTAGCTTTCCAGAGAAGCCATCAGTTCACGCAGGTATCCAGAAGCCACCATCTACAAAGGAACAATTTCATATCAACAAAAAAAATAGTTTAACAAGATGCAATGAATCAGCCAAAAAAAACAAAAAGCAATACAAATTGGTAGACAGCAGGTAGCCAACACAACGAATCGAAGTAACTAGTAACTACGAAGATTACAGAAGGCGTTCCTGAAGATCCACATGACGAGGCGAGGGTGTGAGGGCGCGGATCAAGGCGGCGCGGCGGGAAGCGAAGTCCCTGAAGATCCACTCCGTGGTGTACGACACTACGACGGCGGAAAGAACGCCGCCGCCGCGGGCGCAGGGGATGCATCTCCATGGGCGCTCCCGTGGCCTGGCCGTGCAGGAGGTTCGAGCATGCTGGAGCGCTGGTGCAGAGGATGGTCTGGTAGCGCCGAGCGTGGAGAACTTGCGAGCAGGGGCGGCGGTGGAGAGTCCATGGTAGCCGCCCAGCACAGCAGCTAGCGTCGAGCAGCTGGCCTGTGCAGGAAGCGAGCGCGGGCAGGAAGGACGCGCGCGCGGGAGCTGGCGAGGCGGCGGCGGCGCACAGGATCCGCAAGGAAGGGGATCGAAACCAGTAGAGTCCTCCCAATACTGTTTCCGTGTTTCGCTCGTTTCTTCACGCCTTTGATCCTCGTGACGACGCCGAGTCTTGGTGGAGAAACCGTTTCTCCGATTTGCAATCTCTCTCTACGTTAAATCTAGTGCCACCTCAGCAATTTGATTAGCTGTCACCCTAATTAAGATGGATAGAAACTACTATTAATGTCTCGTTGGGACTACCATAAGAGACTCGTATTTGAAAATCGACAATTAATATATAGAGACCCATATTTAAGAGACTCGTTTCTGTACGTTGTTATTGGTATATCTTAGATGTTGCCTTCTTCTTAAAAGACCCACGTATGCAAATCTATTTACAAAGGCTGTTTTTTTTTTTGAACTATCTCTATAAATAGACCGGCTATCTCCAAAAATCACTTGTATTTTTTGAGACAGAAATACTTTTCGACCGCTCCTATAAATGAAAAGAGCTATATTCTAAAATTGTGTTTTAGTAAAATTGATGGTCGGTGGAAGCACGTTGGCAAAAGTGAGGTTGTACAAGTTGTAGTAGGCTCAAGAGCTACTAGCAAGTCAGCTAGGTTGTCGATAGAGAGAGCACTAGAGCAGACAGTACAGGGGAGACCTCTTCTTGACTTTAACCATAGCCAGGCTATTGTGCACATGGGCTGCGATACAGGTCGTTGTTTCCTCAATGGTCTGCGACGATATGGATCTGCTCAGCTCAGCGTGCACGTACATTCAAGTTTCACTTTTCATGATGAAATCTGCATGTCCACGTCATATTGAATTTGACAAATGGAAGAAATGGTTTGAGAGGTGTTGGGCTTGGCTGCATGCTATTTCATTGCACCTAAGGCCAGCCCCAACGCGCCACTGCCTATTAGCCTCAGGCTCCACGTCTGCTGCCTTCAGCTCACACGGATTGATGGCTCTGCAGATAGTCAGGTCTTCCCCAACGCTACTTTTTTTACTAGTAACCCTATGGGCCATATAAGATCGGATAAAAAAATAGATACTTTATATTTATCATAGTGGCTTGCAGAAATTACGTATATTTGGGAGGGGAGAAGGTGATCCATACTAAAATAAGAGGAAGAGAAAATAAAGGTGAGGCAAGATAAAAGAAAAAAGTTTCTTTATAAACTACAAGTAGTGATAGTCTGCATTGTATGAATAGTAGTCTCAATATTTCTTAGTGTATATAAATGACTTTATTTGTACTATAACCACTAAAAATGTTAGGTTTTATTGGTGGTGCCCTCGTAGCTTCCTGCGGAAGAACTAGGTGCCCAGTCTGACAAAAGCTGGTGCCATCGCTGGGTAAGCGTTGTGAAGATAGTGCTTGTTAGCTTGTGACGTGTTTTAGTGCCTGTTAGCTTGTGACGTGTTTTCGCAGAAGGTGAGTGAGAAAGACTAAAAAGGTTCTGACAAAGTTAAAAGTTGCTTTTTCATTTAAGGGCATGTTTAGTTCTAAATAAATCACCTACTTATAAGTTAAAAAGTAAAAAAAGTGACTTATTTTGTCAAACACCACTAACTTATAAGTCACCCCTGCTTATAAGTTTTAAGTTGGTTCACCCCTGCTTAAAACTTATAAGTCACCTTTTTTCGCATGGGGCCCATACCTTTAATGAGCTTATAAGTCATCTACAACCAAACAGGCATGACTTATAAGTTGCTGGTTTTCAGTCACCTGACTTATGGAAATCAAACAGGACATATGCAGCCTGTTCGGGAGACCGTAAAGGATCGTGGATTATTTACTGCTGACTAGTTTGGTGTGAGAGAAAAGTACTGTTCTGGCTGGAAATTTACGATCGTTTATGACCAAGCGAACAGGCTGATGATATGCCTGCATTGGGTCTGCTCTAAGGTCTTGTTTGGATGTTATCGTATTCACCTCAATCCACGTGTGTTGGGTGGATTGGGGTGAAATTTAGTTTAAGTTACACTCTAATCCACTTAAACACATGTGAATTGATGTGAATACGATAAGATGCAAACAAGGCTTAAACTAATTTCCCTTTATTTTAGATATCATGTTTTTACTGCTTTCTCCATTTTACGTCGTACCAATCCTATCCTATTCATATATATATATATATATATATATATATATATATATATATGTCGGTGTTTCGGACAGGGGGTCCTCAACCGACTAGTGAATTTATTCTGCGTGCTCCTGATCCGGATGGTGATGCAAAGAGACACAAGGTTTATACTGGTTCAGGCAATCAAGGCCCTACGTTCAGTCTGAGAGATCGATCTTGTATTCCTTGCACCGAGGTGCTCGTAGTAGGGGGTTACAAGCTAAAGGAGAGAAGGAGCTGGTCCTAGGTCTCGGCGGGGTGTCGTGCGGGCCGCTTGAGACGTTGCTCTCAGGCGGCAGGAGTGTGCGCGTGTGTGTATGTTACAAGGTGTCCCCCCTTAAAACAACTCAGGTCGTCTCCTTTTATAGCATGAAGGGAGGACTAGGGCGGTACATGAGCTAACTATACGGCGTCGTGTGAACAGAGGCGGCGTGTCCGAGCCCTGTAGCCTGTTCCTGTGGCGGTGTGGCCGTCGGAGTGGTCCATCCTTGGAGTACTGGGGCGGCGTGGTCATCCCATCAGATCCTGTGCGTCGTGGGAGCCCCGGGAATGCCTCGGAGTGGACGCGGCGGCGAACGTGCAAGCCACTGTGGACGGACTGTGCGCGAGGCCGAGACTTGGTCGATGTCGAGGCTGGCACTGCGGTGGGGGGGTCTCGGCAGGCACGAACCCCAAGATCGCCGAGGCCCCGATGTACAGTGCCGAGGCCTTGAGCGGGCGGCCGATCATGGATACAGCGTTTGGACACAGTGGTCGGTAATCCCCGTCATACCCTGTTCCAGCTGGTATGGCGCTGATCGTGGACACATTGGTAGGACACAGTGGCCGGTAATCCCCGTCGTGCCCTGTCCCGGCCGGTATGGCGCTGATCGTGGACACAGTGGTAGGACACAGTGGCCGGTAACCCCGTCGTACCCTGTCCCGGCCGGTATGGCGCTGATGCGACCTCGGGTCGCGTCGGTCATCCTGTGGCGTTGAGCCACCGTCCGGCTGAGATTGCGGGAGTGGTTGAAGCATTAATGAGACATGACGAGTTGTTGGGAGGGTCGGCCGAGGCGGGGGGCGACGGACCGCGGACGAGCCGGCCTCGAGCGACACGGAGAATGAGGCCTCGCGCGAGACGGAGATCAGGTTCCTTGCCGAGGCCTTGTGCGAGACGCCTCGCGCGATACGGAGAATGTACCCCTACCGAGGCCTTCCCTGGATAGCCTCGGGCGAGACGGAGACGGCGCCCCCTGCCGAGGCTCGGCGCCCCCTGCCGAGACCTACCCTGGGGAGCCTCGCGCGAGGCGGAGTTTGTTCCGAGACCTCCTGCTCGAGGCTCGAGGCGAGGTGGAGGAGGGCTCGGTCGTGGCAGGTGAGGGGCCCACGGCTTACCTTCTAGCTTTATTTTGATGTTTGCTTGGGGTACCCCGTTATAAGGTACCCGACAGTAGCCCCCGAGCCTCGGGGTGAGTGCGTGCACTCTCCCTGAGGGTTCGTCGAGGCTGGGTTTATGCCTGCTCCGTAGGAATTGGTTTGTTTTCTGAGGTTCCGGTGGGTGCGCGCGAGCGCACCCGCCGGGTGTAGCCCCCGAGCCCCTGGAGGAGTGAAGTTACTCCTCCGGGGGCTTTCTCCACTTTTGCGTTTGAGTGATCAGCTCTTATTGCATTTGCCGAGCCCATAAGCGCAAGTTCGGGTTGCGGGGGTCTCGGCGAGGTTGCAAAAAAGGCCTCTAGCCTCCGCATGGAGCGAGAGGTTCGTCAGGGGTCCCCCTGACGTTGGGTATGTCCCTCACGCTTCCTTTCGCTCGGAAGGAGGGGTGGAATGTGCCATGCTACCCTCGATGGGCGCGAGCGTGGACACTTTCGGTGAGCTGTTATCGGGTAGTCCGAGTGGAGGCCCGAGCCCCGTTCGCTAGGGGACGGCTAGCGGTCCAGAGACGCACTCCAAAAGTACCGGAGGATTTCTCTAGTGGGTGCCGAGGCCGTTCGCTGGGCCTCGGTGGCTCGGTGCCTCCCTACGGTGGGATCCCATTCGGATACTTTCCTGTCGGTCTCGGACACGACTTAGGACGCCCCGAACGATTGTTTGTTCGGGCCTGGGCCATTCGTAGGCTCGCCCCGAAGTCGTCCCTGACTCTGTTGCCCTGGGGCGGCTGTCGAAACCTCTTTGGAGGCCCAGCCTTCGAACCCCTGGACCGTAACGGGCTCGGTGCCTTTTATCGTGTTTTTTGTCTTGGTTTTTTGGGTGCAAGAGGAGCCCCCGAGCCTCCGCCTGGAGCAAGAGGACGGTCGGGGGTCTTCTGACTTTTTCATTCGCCCCTCACATATCCTTTTTGTTCGGACGGAGGGTTCGTTTGCCGAGCCCATTCTGGTCTCGGCAAGGTCGCAGGAAGAGCCCCTAGCCTCTGCGCAGAGCGAGAGGGCCGTCGGGAGTTCCCCTGACTTTTTATACGCCCCTCACGCGTGAGGGTTTGTTTACCGAGCCCATTCTCGGTCTCGGCAAGGTCGCAGGAAGAGCCCCTAGCCTCAAGCAGAGCGAGAGGGCCGCCGGGAGTTCCTCGACTTTTTACTCGCCCTCGTGGCGTGAGGGTTTGTTTGCCGAGGCCCCTTTGGGTGCGAGCCCGGGTCGTGGGGTCTCGGCATAGTTGCAGGAGGAGCCCCCTAGCCTCTGCATAGGGCGAGAAGGCCGTCGGGAGTTTCCCTGACTTTTTATACGCCCCTCGTGCGTGAGGGTTTGTTTGCCGAGGCCCCTTTGGGCGCGAGCCCGGGTCGTGGGGTCTCGGCATAGTTGTAGGAGGAGCCCCCTAGCCTCTACATAGGGCGAGAAGGCCGTCAGGGGTTCCCCTGACTTTTTATGCGACCCTCGCGCTTCCTTTTCGCTCGGAAGGAGCGGTGGAATGTGCCTCGCTACCCTCGATGGGCACGAGCGGTGGCACTTCCGGTGAGCTGTTATTGGGTAGTCCGAGTGGAGGCCCGAACCCCGTTCGTTAGGGGACGGCTAGCGGTCCAGAGACACACTCCAAGAGTACCAGAGGATTTCTCTAGTGGGTGCCGAGGCCGTTCGTTGGGCCTCGGTGGCTCGGTGCCTCCCTACGGTGGGATCCCATTCGGATACTTTCCTGCCGGTCTCGGACACGACTTTGGGCGTCCCAAGCATTTCGCTCGCTTGGGTCTCGGCCCCGAATAGGCTCGCCCGCAGTCGCCCCTGACTCTGTTATCCTGGGGCAGCTGTCGAAACCCTTTTGGGGTCTAGCCTTCGAACCCCTGGATTGTAATAGGCTCAGAGCCCGGTTCCTTCCTATGAAAGGAACAGGCCGCGGGAAAAAATTTCCCTATTGGCTCGGCCGCGAGTAGCGCGCCTTTTGAGGCAGTTTTATTGGGAGTCGAAACGGTACCTGCTGCCGTAGTGGCCGATCGTGGCGTGGTGGATGGGACGTAACCGTCCTCGCATTTAATGCGGGAGACGTGGGCGCGTGGGCCGGTGAAATCGGCTCGTGGTTAACCGCGCCAGATTGGGGGAAATCTCCTCGATTTCATCGCCCGCTCGTTTCGCCTCCTCCTTGCATAAATACCGGGGAGTTTGCCCTCCTCGTCTTACCTTGCTGCTCAGATCAGCGCGCCCCGCCAAGCCGTCGCTAGAGCGGCGAAAAGTGCCGAAAGAAGAGAGGAGGAAAGCGAGCCCAGCCCATGGTCGGTGATATCGTTGTCGCCGAGCGGACCCACAGGATCCATCGGACGTCACCGAGGAGATGCTCCGATCGCTTGTCGACGGTGGGCTCCTCCGCCCGGTGGATCGACTCCACCCGGCCGGAATGGATTGCTCCGTACGGCGAGCCGGAGCCGAGGCCTCGCGACGGCTATGTCGTAAGCTTCGTCTCCTTCCACGAGCGTGGCCTCGGCGTCCCGGTGGACCGGTTCATGCGGGCGCTTACGCACTACTACGACGTGGAGCTCCACAATTTTAATCCCAACTCCGTTGCTCAGGCGGCTATCTTTGTTGCCGTCTGCGAGGGGTATTTAGGGATCACGCCCCATTGGGAGTTGTGGCTCCATCTGTTTCGGGTGGGGCATACTACAAAGCCATCGGGCACGTCGGGCAAGAGGAAGGCGGCGAGGGCCGGAGGCTGCACTCTCCAAGTGCGTCAGGACCGCCTGCACCTCTACATCCCGGCCCAACTCGCGTCCTCCAACCGCCGGTGGTACACGAGTTGGTTTTATCTTTGTAACTACGACGGAGGGCTTCCCCCCTACACTGGGCGGATTGTGGGGAGTTGCCCGGAGAAGTGGAAGTGGGGCGTCCCGAAGGTCGACTAGCCCAAGCTGGAGCCGCTCCTGGAGGGGCTGGCGAGGCTGTGGGGCCACGGCCTCACCGCGACTGTGGTTGTGGCCGCGTTCCACCGCCGGAGGGTGCTGTCACTGATGGCTCGGCGGCGGCGGCTGTTTGAGATGAGGCCGGGTGAGCCCATTGAGGGCACCCGGATGTACTCTTCCGCCCTTTCCGAGGAGGAGATTCTTCGTTGGGTGGGGGAGACGGTAGAGGCGAAGCTGAGGGGCGGCAACTTGACCCCTATCGCGATGCGGCCGTCGCGGGGGTTCCTTTCGCTGGTAAGTCATGCGTCGCTGTAGCCTCTGACCCTCCTCAGTCTCCTCCTACCCCTTGTTCCCTTATGTGCGTTTGTCGTTCCTTTAGGGGATGAGGGACGTGCGCTCCTCTCCACCGCCCGTTCCTGAGGACGCGGAGCAGCAGGCGGTCAACCGTGCTCACGCCGATGCGCAGAAGAGGCGAAAGGACGCCAAGGCGACGAAGCGCACAAAGCACATCCTCGCGCGCGAGGAGCTGGATAAGCGCCGCCATCAACAATGGAAGGATGGTCTTCCGCTGGAGGAATCCCTGTCGACGTCGTTGTCGACGGAGGCCTTGGACGGGGACGACAAGGTCGAGGGAGGGCGTGGTCCCCTGGGCCACCTTCCTGATGTCGTGGAGGTGGCGCCCGGGGTGTCGGTAAGCATCCCGGCACCCCCGGGAAGGGGAGGAGAAGCGGACCCGGGGCCGGCAGTTGCCCGCTCCGGGGCCGAGGCCGACACGCCCGAGGTGCGGGCGTTAGGCAAACACGCCGTCAGCCCGGTAGGCTCGGCGGTCGTGGTGGAGCGGGTGGCGGCGGAGGCGACGCCGCCGGCCCTGCAGAGGATCGAGGGGGCGCCGGGGTCCGCTGAAGACCGTCCGGCGTCGATGGATACGGAGGCGATGCCTCTACCGCCGCCTCCGCCGCTACGGGTGAGGCATGCCGTGGCGAAGCGGGGGCCGCCCCGATCAAGGCAAGTGTATTCTTAGCAGGGTCGTGGTGTTTTTCGGTCGCTTTTTTAGTTTTGCGCTGACCCTGTAGGTTAATTTTCCTTAGTCGGAAGCGGCCTGCGGACGACCTCCCCTTGGCGCCCCTTAAGGCGCTCAAGGCGAGGCCCGGCTCCTCCGCACACTGGGTGGCGGAGGCACAAGCCGCTATCCAACGTGGCACGGCGTCGGCGAGGGTCGACCCAATGGGGCCGGCCGCCCAAGGAGGGGCTGCCGAGGCGGCCCCTACACGGACGATGGAGGGAGTGCTTCCGCCTCGTGGGGGCGAGGCTCACGAGTCGGATGGGGCTGGCATGCCCTTTGTTGCTGAGGCCCCCGGGGTCTTCGAGGCTGAGGCGATGGAGGCCATGGCGCCCGCGACCGCCGAGACCGCGGTGGCCGTGGTCGGCGTCTCCTCGTCTGCCGAGGCCACGATGGCGGAGGCCAGAGACCCTGAGACCGCCGAGGCCGTAATTGCAGAGGCTGGAGCCCCCGAGGTCACCAAGACCGTCGTGATGGCGGCGAGGCCGTCTGTGCAGGAGGTGGAGATGCAGGCGGCGGCCGCCTCGGTGGTGCCCTTGGTTCAGGGCCCGCCGTTGGTCTATCCGATCCCCTCCGACGATACTTCCCGGGCGCAGGAGGTGGTCGACGCCGAGGAGACCAATGTCATGGAGCAGCCAACGCCGCTCTTGGACGAGGGAGGCTCGACCCTCGTGCGGGTCCGGCCCGAGCCTCACGGGTGGGACCACCCGCGGGTATTGTGGCAGAGCCGGGACGACCCTAAGGGGGAGCCTCTGCTCGCCCTTGAGGACGCGGCTGAGGGTGGGCGCTGGAACACCTTCGAGCAGTATCGCCAGCTGGCGGAGCGGTCGCTACGGACGGCGCTATCTGTGGTGGCCGACGAACTGCCCGGAGTCGCCCAGGTTCGTGCTTTTCTTTCTCGTGCGACGTTTACCTTCCTGACTTTGTTGCGACCAATGACCTTCGCTCTGCTTCCCCAGGAGCTCGAGACCCGGTCGCTTGGGAAGTCGGTGTTTCTCCGGCGGGAGAGGGGCGTCTGGGACCAGCTTCACCGGCAGAAGGGCCTTCTTGCCAATGCTAACGAGCTTCTGTCGGCGCGAAGCACGGAGGTGGAGGACCTCCGCCTTCGCTGTGCCGATGCGAAGGTCGAGGCGGACGGGGTCCAGGCGCAGCTCGCCCCCTTGGCGACGTGGGTCAGGGAGCTGGAGGAGGAGCTTACCCGCGCCGTCAGCGATCGGGATGCCTTCAGGTCCCGGGCCGAAGAGGCGACGGCCTCAGGCGAGGCCCTCGCCGGGCAGCTGGGGGCAGAGGAGAGTGCGCACCGGCTGACCAAAGGCGCTCTGAACGAGGCCCTTGCTGCGGTTGAGGCCTCGCAGATCGAGGCTGTGGTTTTGAAGGGGCGGTCGAGGGTGAGTTCCAGTCCCCTTGTTTTGTTTCCTTTTCCTTATGTTTGCTTCCTGACTTCCTTGTCTGACGCAGAGCTGGGAAGTGAAGCCTCCAGGGCGGCCGAGGCCTCTAGGTTCGAGGCCCAATGGTTGAGGGAGAAGGCCGAGGCCTGTCAGGCCGAGACCCGTCGCTGGGAGCAGAAGGCCAAGGGTGAGCTCCGTGGGCTTCCGTCCCCAACTTAGGTTGTCCTTTCTCTCACTCGACTTCATTCCGTTTTCTGCGGTGCAGAGTTGGAGGCGGAGATCCTTTGGGCCACCGAGGCTTCCAGCACGGTGCAGATAGTGCTCGAGACCGAGATCAGGGAGCACGAGGCGCTGAAGCGTGCTGCCCTTTCCGCCTACGAGGCCTTGGAGGTCGAGGGGGTTCAATCAGGCAGCTCCCTTGGGAGCCGCCTGATTGCGCTGAGCAGCCAGATGCGCGAGCGGCTCCAAGGGGCACTGCACACGGTTGTCAAGCGGGCGCTGGCCGTCATCTCCTCTCACTACCTTGGTGTCAACCTCCCGGCCATCAGTGATGGCTATGTTCTACCTGATGATGACGAGGAGGCCGACGCGGCGGTGGCGAAGCTGACGGAGGCGGCGGAAGGCCCTGGCACGGCGCTGGCGACGCTCTTCGAAGATGAGGTGGTTCCTCCCCTACCATCTGCCGATGCTGAAGGCCCTGAGCCTTGATCTGGGCCCCGGGGGCTATGTAAAAATAGAATAGGGGTTATTTTTTGTATCGTAACGCTTTGTGGCCATCGAGGCCTTTACTTTTGAAGTACTTGTGTTTCCTAGTTGTTTTTCTTATGTTTCCGAGCCTCTGCCCTCTGTCGCTCCTGATCAGATTTCGTTTCCAAAACACCCCCTTGGGGCCTAAGCCGTCCCTTGAGCGAGAGGTAGTGAGGGAGTGCCGTAGCCCAGAGGCGTAGGCCGTCTCACGACTCTACCAGCCTCTCGCTTAGGAAATAGGCCTTGGTCCGAGGGGTTTTTACAACTAATTCGTCAGAGCCTGCTAGGGACTTGGCGTAGGATTTTTTGCGAAAAACAACTGGAGAATGGCGCATGGGACCTAGGGGACGCCTAGGGAGGGGTCCCCTATCTATCCCCCGAGGGAGGCTTGGTTCTGCCGAGGCAGAACCGAGTTTCCCTTGCCGTGTTACTATATTGCTGAGGCCTACGATGGGCCCGGGGGGTTTCTCAAAAAATTAGACCAACTAAAGAACGCTTTTTAGTTGTATTTCGAGGAACGACATATACAATGCTTGGAAATTTAGGGATAAAAGCGACATAGATGTTCTATGTTCCAAGCGTTGGTGAAGACTTCGTCCTTCTCGTTGGCCAGCTTGTAGGTCCTGGGCTTCAGCACTTGCGCGATGATGTACGGACCTTCCCATGGCGGGGTCAGCCTGTGGTGACCCTTGTTACTCTGTGCTAGCCTCAACACCAGGTCGCCTACCTTCAAGTCTCGGTTTCGGACGCGTCGGGCCTGATAGCGCCGCAGGCTCTGCTGGTATTTGGCCGAGTGTAGTAGTGCGACGTCTCGGGCTTCCTCCAGTTGATCAAGGGCATCCTCTCGGGTGGTGCGGTTACTTTGTTCGTTATAAGCTTGCAGCCTCGGGGAACCATATTCCAAGTCGGTGGGGAGGATGGCCTTGGCCCCATAGACTAGGAAGAAAGGCGTGAATCCCGTGGCTCGGCTTGGAGTGTTCCTTAGGCTCCAGATGACCGACGGGAGCTCGGCGAGCCATTTTTTGCCAAACTTTTTCAATCGGTTGTGAATCCTTGGCTTGAGGCCTTGTAGGATCATGCCGTTGGCACGCTCTACTTGGCCGTTGGTCCTTGGGTGTCCACGGTGACTGTGCCACACGGATGTGGTGGTCGTCGCAAAATGTCAGGAACCTTTTGCCGGTGAACTGCGTCCCGTTGTCGGTGATGATGGTGTTGGGGACCCCAAACCTGTGGATGATGTCAGTGAAGAATAGCACCGCCTGCTCGGATTTGATTTCAATTGATCGGACGAGACTCGATCCATTTGGAGAACTTGTCGATTGATACCAATAGATGGGTGAAGCCCCCGGGGGCCTTTTGCAGAGGCCCGACCATGTCGAGCCCCCACACGGCGAACGGCCATGTGATGGGGATGGTTTGCAGGGCCAGGGCCGGGAGATGTGTCTGCCGAGCGTAGTACTGGCATCCTTCGCAGGAGCATACTAGTTTGGTAGCGTCGGCAACCGCCGTGCGGCCAGTAGAACCCTTGGCGGAAAGCTGCCCCTCACGAGCATCCGAGGCGCCGCATGGTGCCGCGCAGCGCAGCGTGTAAGTCCCAAAGGTGGCTCGCCCGCTTGAGCTGATACACCGTTGGAGGACACCGAGGACTTCGCCGTATAATTCGCCGCCGCTAGAGGGCGAGGTCTTGCTCGCCGCGCAAGCCACCGTGCTTCCGGTTTTGTCGTCGAAGCTCCCCGATCGAGCCAATCGAGTAACGGGACTCGCCAATCCGCGTCCTGATCAGTCCGTGGAGGCTCGGCGTTGACTTCCATGACCTCGGGCTTGGTCGAGGGGGTCTCGGCAAAGACAGAGGGCGCCGAGCTTCGCGCTGGGTTCCACAGGTGGGCCCTCCTCTGCTGCCGAGGTGTATCCAATGGAAGGTTTGTGGAGGTCTCTAGCGAAGATGTTCGGGGACCGAGGCCCGTCTTTGAGGCCATCTTTGCCCGGCTAAATCGGCGGCTTCGCTTGTACTTGTACTTCCGCTGACGTGATTTAGCTCGAGACCGTCGAACTTGTCTTCTAGGCATCGTATCAGCCTTGCAAGAAGCCTCCATTTTGGGGTCGAGGCGTTTGACTCCTTCATCACTTGATCTATGACGAGCCGCGAGTCGCCTCAGACGTCGAGGCGTCGTGCCCCAAGTTCGATGGCGACTTGTAAGCCGTTGATGAGGGCCTCGTATTCGGCCACGTTGTTGGAGGCAGTGAAGTGGAGCCGCACCATGTAGCGCATGTGTACTCCGAGGGGCAAAATGAAGAGCAGACCCGCGCCCACCCCGGTCTTCATCAGGGATCCATTGAAGTACAAGGTCCAGTATTCCGTCTGAATTTGAGTGGGTGGCAGTTGGGTATCTGTCCATTCAGCCACGAAATCGGCCAAGACCTGAGACTTGATCACTTTTCGAGGCGCAAAGGTCAAGGTTTCCCCCATAAGCTCGACAGCCCACTTGGCTATCCTTCCCGAGGCCTCCCGGTTATGGACTATCTCGCCCAGGGGGAAGGATGATACCATGGTCACTGGGTGCGACTCGAAGTAGTGGCGCAGTTTGCGCCGGGCCAGGACCACGGCATAGACCAGTTTCTGGATGTGGGGGTAGCGTGCTTTGGTCTCGGAGAGCACCTCGCTGATGAAATAAACAGGTCATAGGGTGGGTAGAGTATGCCCTTCTTCTTGCCTCTCTACCACTACGGCGGCGCTGACCACTTGGGTTGTTGCGGCGACGTAGAGTAGGAGGACCTCGTCCCTGGCCGGGGGTATCAGGACGGGAGGATTGGTGAGCAGGCTCTTGAGTCTGTCGAGGGCTTCCTCGTCCTCGGTGGTCCAAGAGAAACGCTTCGGACTTTCTCAAGAGTCAGACAGGGCAAACTTTTTTTCGCCGAGGCGCGAGATGAAGCGACTCAGGGCCGCAAGGCATCCCATGACCTCTCAGACTCCCTTGAGGTCTCCGATTGGTCCCATGTCTTTGGTTATGGCCGAGACCTTCTTCGGGTTGGCTTCAATGCCGCGTTCCGAGACTATGAATCCCAAGAGCATGCCTCGGGGAACCCCGAACACACACTTCTCGGGGTTGAGCTTGATGCCCTTCTCCCTAAGGCATTTGAAGGTTATCCTCAAGTCGTCGACGAGACCCTTGGCCTTTCTGGTCTTGACCACGATGTCGTCTACGTAGGCCTCGACGGTCCGCCCGATGTTGTCTCCAAAGACCTGGGTCATGCATCGTTGGTACGTGGCACCTGCGTTTCTGAGGCCGAAGGGC